GTGTGTGTGTGTGTGTGTGTGTGTGTGTGTGTGTGTGTTTGTGTGTGCGCGCGAGCGCATGCATGCGTGTGTGTGTGTGTGTATGCACACATGTGCATGCATGTAGGTTCCCATGGAGGCCAGAAGAGGAAGTTGGATTCCTGGAAGCTGAAGCAATTGTGAGCTGTCTGGTGTGGGTGCTGAAAATCAACCTCAGGTCCTCTGGAAGAACAGTATGCTCTCTTAACTGCAGGGCCATCTCTCCAGCCCAGTTTTCTCCTTTTTAATTCAGTCTAGGACCCCAGCCCCTGGAATGATGACACCCATGGCTTAAGTAAATCTCGTCACCTCGGTTAACCTAACCTAGACAGTCCCTTATAGGCATCCTTAGAGGCTAACCTTTAGGTAAGTAGGCATGCTCAGAAGCTTGTCTCCTAGATAATTCCAGATCCTGTCAAGTTGACAGGACATTCACTCGCTTTGTTGATACTAAACAGCACAGATTCCCATCAGCAACTCCTCTTCCCCCAAATCCTTGCTCGATTTTGCTTTTGTTTGTTTTCTTGACAGCAGCCATTCTGGCTAGGGTGATGTGGAACCTCAAAAGAGTTTCAATTTGCATTTTCTTGACGGCTAAAGATGCTGAAAACACTTTATCCTGTATTTATTAATAAACGGTTCTTGTTTTAATAACCCTTCACTTCACTTGCTCATTTACTGATTGGAACATTGTTCTGGTGTTTGATTTTTTTTTTTGAGTTTGTTATATATTTTGGATTTAACTCCTTGCTGACGAGAACTGGGGAGGTAGGAAAAATAAACACATCCATATGTTTTTTTCTGCTCTCTTTCCTGGAATCGTTGCCTTTTCCCCCTCAATTTTGGGCTCATATTCTCTTAATGTATAGGAAAATATTCTTTCTCAGTCAAGGTTTTCTTAATCACTTCACAGTGCTGCAGATGGTGAAGTCTAGGAATATCTGAAATACAAAGATACCAGACTGAGACCTTTGCCCTATCTTTTCAGGTCTTTGTCACCAACAAAGAAAGAGATCAGAAAAACGACAAGTCAAAGAATTGGGAAGAAAATTCTTATAGCACAAAAGTACACACTTAAAGGGTGAGTGTCAGCTTCTCAAGAGAGAGGCATCACTGGAATTTTTATTTACTTAACTTTGGATTTTGAGGCAGGATCTCATTTTGTAGCTCGGGTTGTTCTGGAACTCACTGTATAGCCCAGGGTGCTCATCAACTCACAAAGATTTTATTTGGGTGCTTGGGATTCAAACAGTCCGTGTGCCATCAGGTTCAACTAAGCCATCACTCTAGCCCCTGGAGGTGTCATTATAATAAAGCAAAGGGCAGTTCGTGGTCATCTTGGTAGGCCATGCTTGTTCCAGCTGGTGTTTTTATTAAATTTTATTTATTTATTTTTATTTTATGTGTATGATTGTTTTGCTTGCATGCATGTAAGTGCTCCCATATGTGCAATGCCCACAGAGGTACAGCTGTTAGCTGCCATGTGGGGCTGGGAACCGAACCTAGAGCCTCTGCAAGAACAGCCAGTGCTCTTAGCCTCTGAGTCATCTCTCCAGACCCCAGCAGTTAAGAGCACTGGTTGCTCTTGCAGAGGAACCAGGTTAAGTTCGTAGCATCCATGTGGTGGCTAATAGCAGTTAGTAACTTCAGTTCCAGGGGCATTCAATGCCCTCTTCTGGCCTCCACAAGCATTACACACACGTGCACTTACATGCACACAAAACACTCATACACAGAAAATAATAATACTTTTTTTTTTAAAAACTCAGGTTACAGTACCTCAAAAATCAGTTTTCTATAGTTGCTTTTTTTCTCTTCCTTTTGATTTCTGTGAGACATGGTTGAGCTTAGACTAGCCAGATCCCTTTGCTTCAGGTTCCCAAGTATTGAAATTACAGGTATGTGCCATCCTGTTTGACTTTTATTTTTTTCTTTCACCATATTACCCAGGATAGTCTCTTCCAAGAGTTTCTAAAATTTGTGTAAAATTCAAAAGTCAATAGTAATTTTTATCCTGATTCCTCACAATGACATTCTGAGCCTTTAACAGGAATGGCTGAACTGCAGCCTGGTCCAAAGTATAAGATGAAGAAATAGCTGTATCACTATAAAGGCCTTTATGTCATCTCTGTTGCTCTGGTAGTTATCTTTTCATGTATTCAAACTTTGCTTTTTCATCTAGATGTTAAGTTTATTGTGGTCATAAATGTATTTAGTATTTTTATTTAGTTAAGCATGACATTTTCTTTATCTTAACAAGTATACTAAGAATACAGGCAGTATTATTCACAAATCTGTTGAAAACTTACTTTGTATCTTAATGTCACATAACTTTGCCTACAGAATAGAGACATTCAAATTATTGTTAAATATTTGATAAATTTGATGAATATAATTTGGAATAATTCCAAAAAAGAAGATAAATATTTACAGTATTATCTTTGTACAATTTTTAAAGGAGAATTTTATTTACTTGGAAAATAATAACTATAGGAATGTAAAAGAAGAATTGAAATAGAAAAGCAGACTTCTAAGTAAGATTAAAAATGAGTGTAACTGACTGTAACTAGTAATAATCAGATACATAGAGATTAGAGATGTGCACTAAAAACGAGTCTTTCTGTATGAAACAGTATATTTTAAAATCAAATGGAGATCTTTTTAAAAGTCAAAAACTCATTCAAATTTGTGTCTTACGGGGATTATACTGAGTTTAATATTGTTTAACTGTATTAACTCAACTGTGAACCAAAAAAAAAACAACAGCCACTTTTGAAAGAGATGCATCTTTGCTCTGGAAATTGTTACTGAATATGTTAAAGCTGTAATGAAATGTTTCTCTTAATTGTGTGGTTATTAAATAAATAAAAGAAATGATCCTTCTTTTAGGCTTTTCAATTTCAGAGTCAAATTGACAGATCTGTTTTAGAAGCACAGTCCTGGGGCCAGAGACGGCCAGTTTTCCTCACTGTTGCCTGTTGCTCAAGTTCCAGGAATGTCCATGTGTTCCTTTTTTAGAAAATGCAGCTGCTGGTTTCTGGCTTATTCTAGCCTCTCCATACTTCAACGACAACTGCTGAGGGCCGGGAAGTGGGAGGGCAGGTATGGGGAAAGCCTACTCTCAGGAAAGATCTTTGATAACTAGGTTAGAGGTAAACCTGTCAGTTGAGTATAGATATTTCTAGAATGTATTCTGGGAAGTGAGTGAGACTGAGGGAAAAATCCAATCTGAACTTCAAAGGTAGGGAGATGATTTGTGGTTTTTCATGCTGTAGTGAACGTGAATTATTTCAGAATATGCCATTCTTGTCAACTGTTTCATCAGCTTCGCAAATACTTTAAAAATCCTACATACCCATTTCTATCTATCCCAGAAATAAAATAAAAATGGGTAAGATTACAGCTCTTGTTTCAGTAGAGTTTGCCCCAGATTTCTTCATGTTTTTCTCATAACCCACTAGCCATATGACTCTCGAGATGCAACTTCTAGGTCTCTCTTCACTTCCTTTGAAGCACAACATAAATCCCTTGGCCTCGCTCTCCAGGCCCTTTGGGATCAGAGTCCAGATTATTGACCCAGTTCCTTTTCTTTCTGCCTCTCACCTTTTTGATACATAATGAGTAAGCCATACCACAGTGACTTCTTACAATTGTATGTGGAGAGTCCAAAGTCCTACTTACCCTTTACCCTTCAGCTGAAATGTCACATGTCCTACGATATATCTCCTGACATCTCCCTTCCTCTATGCTGTGTTAGGGTTCCTTTCTTTATACCACTTTTGTGCCTACCACTGTTATAATCCTCAGTAATATAATATTGCGATTATTTGTAACCAGTTTATTTTCTTCCAGAGGAGAAGGATAGGGCTATGCCCTTTCATCTTTGTGTCTGCAGCATATGGTGTAGGCCTGGTATACAGCAGGCACTCAATTAGTGATGGCTTGATCAGTGAATGAATGAATTCATTAATTATCCTTTATATCAACTGCCAATTAAAAATGTTTAAGTCTTCTTTTCTCTCATTGTTTCTCATCAATGCTCTTTCCAGAATGCTGTCAGAAGGATATCTCAGTGGACTCGCTCACTGGAAAGACATCCAATGGAATTGTACATCTTACAATGAGCCAGTTGCTGGGGAACAAGATGAGGAGACAACTGCTGCTCTTTCCTTTTCTTCTGTGGATGAAAAGCAAGTCCGAAGTCTTTTTGTGAGCTGCAAATCCTCTCACAAGTTTATTTCTTCAGTGCGTTCAAGAGAGAGCCAGCACAGCAGATGCCAGAGTGTAACAGTGTTGCAGACAAACCCCAACCCTGTGTTTGAAAGTCCTAACTTGACAGCAATTGACATATGCAGAGACTCCAGCAGGGAAACCTACTTGGTTCCACCTTCTTGCAAAAGTATTTGCAAGAATTACAATGACTTACATATTGCAGGGGATCAGGTGATGGCCATTAACTCAGTGACAGCAGATTTTCCTTCTGAGAGCAGTTTTGAATATGGCCCTTTGCTGAGGTCATCTGAGATTCCTTTGACCATGGAGGATTCCATTTCCACTCATCCCAGTGACTTTCCCCAAAAACCTGTCCAGCGATACTCATCCTACTGGAGAATAACCAGCATCAAAGAGAAAAGCAGCCTGCAAATGCAGAAACCTATTTCAAATGCAATGCTGAATGAGTACTTGGAGCAGAAAGTGGTGGAGTTATATAAGCAGTATTTCATGGACAGGGTGTTTCATGACAGTTCTCCTACCCAGATTCTGGCATCAGAGCTCATTATGACAAGTGTAGACCAAATTAGTCTTCAAGTGTCTAGAGAGAAGAACCTGGACACCTCCAAAGCCAGGGATATACTCCTTAGCCGCCTATTGCAGTTGGCATCAACTGAGATCAGCACTCCTAGTCTCCATATTTCTCAGTATAGCAATATAACTCCATAGAGAAGAGCTTTCCATTCCTCTCCGTTCTGAGACCCAAAGCAATACTGTATTCATTTATTCAGAGAATGTGCAGGAGGGCGTGGTGGAAGGGAGTTAAGGGCTAGCGAAGGAAAGGTTGAGAAATCTTACAATATTATACATGCTGCAGGAATACAGGAAGAGAAACTACGAAGAACAATTTCACAGGCAGGTTTACACAAAAACAAGGTAAAAATAAAAGAGAAAGACAGAGAGAGAGAGAGAGAGAGAGAGAGAGAGAGAGAGGTATCTATTACCGTTCACTAATGGGAGTATTGGTATGGGAAACGATAAGCCAAATCATGAAAGAAAAGAGAAAACACTATGGGTCAAAGGGTTTCTAGGTTGGGAATGAAAAACACATTTCTCACTGAAATCAGTTCTTCTAGGTTGTTTCTTCTGGAAGGAAATGGACTATAAGAAGTTTGCTGCATTTGGGTAAAAAGACAATGTCAAACATTTTTCCAAGTGTAGGTTTGTGTCTTTTTTTCTGTATTGTGTATCAGTAGGTCTTTTGGATATATTTTTTGTAAAGATTAAAGGAATAGAAAACTGTAAATGTTTTTGATTTTTTTAGGATTAAAAAGTTTTTATTGAGCTTTTGTAATTTCATTCAACAGTTCTTAATCAAATTTAGAACCCCCCCCTTTTCTGTAGCTCCAGCTATCCTGGAACTCACTATGTAGACCAGGTGGCCTTGAACTCACAGAGATCCGCCTACCTCTGCCTCCCGAGTGCTGGGATTAAAGGCATGCACCACCATGCCCGACTTTTAGGATTTTTTGAAACAAGCTTTAATGTAGCTCAGGCTGGCTTGCTTTCCAATCACAACATAGTGATCTTGAACGCCTGACCATCCTGCCTCTATCAAATGCTGATATTAAAGGCATGCACCATCACATCTAGCTGTCTTTTTACCTTTGAATGATAAATTAGAGCTACAAGACATTCCATCAAATCTCCTAATTCTATTTAGTATGAGAGAACATTTTATCAATGAGAAACTTCACAGTGTGAATATTAAAACATTTTGTTTCATCTTGTGTATGATTTTCATGGTGGTGTCACATTCAAAGAGAATTTGGAATTTTTTTTTTCTATTTTCCTTTTCGTATGTTTTCTTGATCTAGCACCAGTAGAGAGTCTACTCCATATGAATATAGAGGATATACTTTACATACACGTATGGTCACATGATATCGGTTTCTGTAAATGCATTTTCTAACACATATACCTTCATGTGTACTTTACAGTTTTAACCTTCTCCCCAGGCTCAGGAATTGGGAAACTATAAGACACTGACCAAATCTACTTTGCTTGTTTTGACCCATGTGCTCTAGGGATGGGTTTTCTATTTTCAAATGGCTTTAAAAAAAACTCTCAAAAGCCAAAATAAAAGTATTTTAGGACATGTGAAAACTATACAGATTCAAACTTGAAATTCAGTGTTCGTAAAGTTTTATTTTGGTTCTTGGCAGCATCAGGGCCTTACTTGTGCTAGGCAAGTGCTTTGCCAATGAGACAGATCCCAGCTGCCAACTAGTTTTTGTTTGGTCTGTGGCTGCTTTCACACAAGAATGGCAGAGATGAATAACCATGATAGAGAACATACGGCCCAACAAAACCCAACACACTTACCACCTGGCCCTTTACAGAAGACGTTTGCCAATCCTGCTCAACAACAATGCCTTGTCCACGCTTCTTTTGCAGTGGAAGCAGGCTGTCAAAAAGATATTGGGGAGCATGGTTATGGAAGATTGGTCTGGGGAACAACATCTGTGAGGGAACAAGGAAAGCAAATGCAGAGTTTTCTTGAAAGAGCTAGGGAGAGTCATCAAAGTAGTGAGTTGCAAATTGAAACAAAAAAGCCGCTTTTACACTCTAGCATCTAGCCGCAGGCTGCACACTTTGAGCTGAGCAGTGAGGACATTTTTCAAACTGGGAGTTTTTAGTGAGTCTTCCTCACCCAAACTGCAGGAAGCTGTGGTTTGGTACAAGAGCTCCACATTCAGGAGGAAGAGCCTGGGTTGAGAAATCCTTTATGTTTCTCTATATTTGTATGTGTACAGTGAATAAATATATATTTCATAGCATATACTATTATATACAGAAATCTGATTTTGAAATAGAAACTATTCACTAATTTTGACATATCAACATAATATCTGCTATGCATTGGTTGCTTGCTCTGTATCTGGTACCATGTTAAGTATTTTCATGAGTTATGTAATTAATTTTCATAATAACCTTAGAATAGAGAGATTTTATGATCTCCTTTCTACAAATGAGAGCACCGAGCTAAGGGAAGCTAAATAATTTATCCAAAATCACACCGTAGCTGGTAGAACTGGATTTGAATTCAGTTCCATTTAATATTAAAAAATTTGTGTAAGAGTGTTTACCTGAATGTATGTAAGTGTAGCAGATGTGTGCAATGCCACAGAAACCAGAAGAAGGCATTGGATGCTCTGAAACTGGAGTTATGGATGGTCGTTAGCTATCATGTAGGTTCTGGGAACCAAACCCCAGTCCTTTGCAAGAGCAGAGAGTGCTCTTAGCCACGGAGCTATCTCTCCATCCCCCAGTTCCATTTAATTTTAAAGCCTTTTGTTCTTAAATGCATCTTGTTATGGATCCCCAGCAGGCTTTGAACTCGTGATCCTGTTCCCTCAGTCATTCCTGGAATGGGATCATGGGTATGCATTACTATGCCTGGCTAGAAGTCCTGTTCTCTTCTACTTTTGCTTTTCTTTTTGTTTTTGTCCTTGTTATTGGGGATTGAACCTATGCAGGGCCTCCCTCAGACAAGATAGGAAAGCACTTTACCACTGAGTTTTATCCTCAGCCTAGTTTATTTACTTCTCACTTTGAGAGAAGTATGGCAAGTTACCCAGGCTGGCTTTGAAGTCACTCTGTAGTCCGGAAGGTCTTTAACTCAAGATTCCTCTGCCTTAGCCTTCTAAATCCCTGGGATTACAGGCCTGCTACCACCAGGCCAGGCTGCTCTCTCCTGTATGCCTCTTCAAGGGGAGCCATCTCATTAATCCGATTACTATTATGTTAATTCATTTTTCCTTATATTATTTAAAAAATTTTTTAATAACCACATAATTAGTAGAAGCATTTCATTACAACAGCATTGACATAGTCAATAACAGTTTCCAGAGCAAAGATGCGTCTCTTTCAAAATTGGCTGTAATTTTTAGGCTCATAGTGTTGAATTAATACATTTATACATTACTGTACTCAGTATAAACCATGTAAGACATAAAACTGAATGAGGGTTTAACCTTTAAAAAAGATCTCCATTTCATTTTAGAATATACTCTTTCATACAGAAAAACTCATTTTTAAAGCAAATAACACTTAGATTTTTATACTTTCCTCTCTCTAAAACACAAGCTTTTTCTATTCTTGTTTCTCCACATTCCAAGATCTACTTGTACATAGTAGGCATGCATATAATAAATACTGACAAATGGATAACTATGTTTGGGTGATGTTGGATACTTCATCTACTGACCAAAGAGAGAGACAATCAGTATGACAATCAGATAAATATGACTAGAAAATATGCTACTGAAGTTTCCTCCCCAAGGAGTAAACTTACTGAACCAATGGGCTTAATTGATTAACAGGTAAATAGTAAATACTAAGATGTCTTACAATAAAATATTGCCATAACTATTTTGTTTTGCTTATTGAGAAATAATGGTATAAAGTAGAAGGACTTATTGTTTTCACTGAATATTCATTTGATGCTGTGTTTTGGTGCCTGTATTTAGGGTTGGAGCACAATGTATGCTATCTTTGAAAGTTACCATATTATTGAAGAGATCCAGATGATAAGTTGGGAACATGTAGCAAAGAAAATTCTTATGTAAGAACTTGGCAATGTGGTATAAGAAAGAATAAGAAGGTCAACTCATGTGTGATGAGTGCTGAAAGGAATTAGGTTAGTGAGTACAAGACAGTGTTAGAAGCAAAGCTTCCAAAGGGAAGTGGTAGTTTAAAGTAGTTTTGAAGAACAAGACAAGATCTAGGCAGATGAAAGAGATATTCCAAGCAAAAAAGTGTTTCCTAAAATAGGAAATAAAAAGTCAATGGCTATAACTGACAGAATGCATGGAAGTTAAAAAGTAAAAAGAGGAATGGTAATGTAGTTTAGTGGAAGATCACTTGCCCAGTATGTGCAAGGTCCTAGGTCAATCCCCACTAACACAAAAAAGAAAGTTACTGTCTTTCTACCAAGTGTAGAAAGACAGGTGTCACAACTACTTAGCGTATATTGAATAATTTTCAGTATTTTTTTGTAATTCATTCCAATTCAGCATCTGAAGCTCTCACTTATCATATATATTTTCTTAACTTATCCCCCCAGTGCAATTATAGGATTATGACTGGTACCATCTCAACAAAGCATTCTGGGAGGTGTGGGAGTAGCTGGAGAGGGGTTCCATCAGTATAGACTTAACTTTAGTAGGGCTTTAATTAGTGTATTAGGTAGGGTTCTCTACAGAAACAGAAGTGATAGACTGAATACATATTTTAAAAAGGTTGCCAGCCTTAGCCTTTAACAGCTGTGCCTTCTCTCCAGCCTGAAGCTACCTCATGCGACAGAGGCCCAGGAACACAAAAGGTCACAAACGCGAAAGCATAGAGATTAAGAGTCTGCAGAATTCTGGTCCTTGGACAGGGCTTCTGTCTTAAACTTTACCCAGGGCTCAGGCAGGAACCATTGTGAAAGTGTGTGTGTGTGTGTGTGTGTGTGTGTGTGTGTGTATGCGTGTGTGTGTGAAGATCTTAAGAGCCAGGGAGGAGGTGCATGACCATATGGAAATAGAGTCCTACAAGCTCTTGGGACCCTGTTCATATGAACCTATAGGAATGGTGTCAGCATGCAAAAGACCCATGCAAACTCAAGGAGACAAAAACCCAGCATAGAACTGGGGAAATGGACAGCAGACCCAATCTTAGCTGAAGAAATATTGGCAACTGATTGCTGCTGGCTGAGGAAGGACTGATCTTTCTAAAGTGAAGAGTCTAGATGGGCTGACTGGATCTCAGTAGATGAACTTGCACTGAGGAATGTCTAGGGACACTAACTTGATACAATACGCCTTAACACAAATAACAGAATGAGATTGGGAGGGCTATGGGAGGGCGCCAGTAGGGAAGTGGGTATAAAGATGATTAAGATTGATTGAGATGTTCTGTATGAAATACACAAAAATTCAACACAAAAT